TTTCTCGAAAACATCCCTAATCATATCAAGTGAAGGAAAAAAACTTAGATAAAGTGTGAATTCTAATTATCGCAAGGAAGCGCTCGACACTCTTCAAAGAGCAACCTTTGAGCTGAATGGTCCCAGGGAAAGAAAACTAGAAAGAGGCGCGTTGTTGGATGGGAGCTGGGGCGGGTGCGGGGTTGGGACAAAGGCTCAGCTTATGCTGCAAGAAACTGCATATTACTAATGCAAACGTGCTCTATAGATGCATCGTGATCGCTCGCATCGTAGCTGGACTACCTATTTCAACTTCCAGTGGAAAGGTGGCATTATAATATAGTATACATATGTAATAGTGGCATCAGCACTTTTGGTAATAATCTGGAGGTTTACAGTTTGAATGGATGTATAGGTGATAGCGGAAAGTTTGAAGCTAATTGGTGAAAAAAAACTGAGAATGAAAAAAGAACTGAAGAAGTAAAACAAGAACTCCATTCTCATAAACTATACCTGTTCAAGAGGATGTTCTGCGTTTTGAGATCTCTATGCACGATCGATTTTGAGTGAATGTGATTAAGAGCGATGAGGATCTGAAAATTACGTGTTCTTTTCCTTCATTTTTCTATCCATGGCTGTTTCCGCGGTCGGTGTGTCGGTAGTCTCATTTCTGATGTGTCCGTCCGCAAAATACCCTCGGCACACCAGAGAATATGATAACGTGCTGGTATGACCAGGTCATACGAGCGGCCTCCTCTCTTGCATGTTCTACATATGTGCCAACACTGCCAGCGCAGATAGCGTCGAAGATGAAGGCAAATGACCACATGAGAAACCAAGGCAACGGTGGCAGGACACGAAGACATTGGAATTGCATGCGCTGCGAGGGTGCTGAACCGAACAAAGCGACGGTCTTTGATTTGAAAAACGGACCATGGACCAGCGTGAGAAGTTTAACACATCAGCGACAGCGTGATACGCATGCGCTTCACACTTTCGCACAGACATGGCTCGTTTTCCTTAACTCACTCGGCAATTTTTGTGGATTCAATTTTCTATTCTTAATTGGCCCCAAAATTAGCATAAAGCATAAGAGCATAAAGCATTTGCCGTTGGTCAATCCCCTTTTGGGACGCGGCACGCATTCTACTTCTACTGCGTTTGGATGCGAAATTTATTTTGGAACAATTCTACAAGGAATTGAGTGGACACAGCCCGGTTGATCGGACTGGTCACTGATAGATGGTGAGAAATTCAAAAGTGAAGATTTCGAGCAGAGAATTGCTGGATTGCAACAAACCATTACATTTCAAAACTCACTTTATCAAAAAGGATCCAGCGCGTTAAAATTTACCATATATCCAAGTTGACTGCGTTAGTAGTGGTGAGCTTCACAACACATATTACCATGCGTAAAAT